CGTTAATTACGACGATAATTAACGGTCTGGTAATCAGATCGGATATGACTCGAGGGTATCTCGATTGTACGTTTTTGTCGGTGCGGCACGACGAGCGAACAAGCCGCGATATATATATTGACCAAAGCGAGGGGTTCATTACTCTCCGTACGTTTCGTTCGCTGTTGTTTCCATTTTTTCCCCGGCTGTTCAACCTCACGGAAAGGCGGATTTGATCATTCGTTGGTCGACTGTCTTACGTGGAAGTTATTTTGCGTCGCTAGTTTTGCTATGCCAAACTAAATGAATAATTAACGTCTAATGCTACGATGATAATTTATGCAACTCTACGTAGCCGTGTTGTTAGTCGACGAAACATGTTACCCTCGTCTCTATCCGCATCTTGGAAGTATCGTTGATAGTAAACTTTGTACTATTACAAACTATCCTGTGGATGTATCCTCCAGACGTAATCAAGTTATTCATCGATAGATCCTAACGCAATGAGGAGTTTCAGATTCGATTCAGATACGGAATCAAGTTGCATTTCGTGCATCCCCAACTACGAGCTACAAACAAAGTTAACACTTGGTCTTGCGGCACGAGTATCAATCTAGCGTAAAGTAACGAATTGTAGCATGCAACGAATATACAATCGAACACTCTGAAATTTTTATCGACATCCTCGGATACTCAGATGCTTACAGACTTTACCAACGTAATCACAATGGTCAAATTTTACCAACAAAATATACACGACACACGGTCGCGAAAGTCCTCTCTGATGATAATTGTTAAATCAATGATAATTGTTAAATAATCACGATTATCCCGCGAGTCAACGTATAAATACGTTTACACACGACAAGTGGAAATATTTAATCATCTTCGTTGGATAGGACGAGTGATGATCGAAAAACGGTATTAAATTCTGTTTACATTAATTATTAGATCCGGTGAGAATGTACAATATAGACAGCGAAATGCAGCCGGCACTGCACTCGGTCTGACTCGTGTGCTCGCGTGATGTTTCGTTGTTGACAGAGTGCCGGTCGATTTTCAACAACGGGGGACATCAAAGTTCCGTACTACTTTCCGCGTTCTAACGAAGCTGGTACAACGGTGCCAATGGTAATTAATTAACGCGCCGCGCTAACTGTAATTTAGTTAGAACGGCTTCCAGTTATTCCTGTCGTAATTACGCGACTGTCCCTTTCTTTCTATAGACCGAATAAATTTCAAACTGTACATTCAGCTAATTGCGATTCTATTTCTGCAAATCGTCAAATCTAAAATTTCGAATGCAAGGATGAAAGGGACGTCGCTTTGTCTCGAATCGTCGCAAACGGTCGATTCATTTCCGTTGCTTTGTAACAGCAATGCGGTAACTCTCGATAATAATTTCCCACGAAAAACAAATCGTCTCCCTCGTTCATCCGCCGGGAAATTATTTTAGGCGCGGTATATCCTCGTCACGCTTTTTTTCACTTCATTTAATTGCTCCGTTCGTTTGCCAACGAACCGTTTAATCCGAGCGCACGCCAGGTTCCTACTTCGATAAAAAGTGAAAAGGAAGGCCGAGCTTTGATAATCTCTATTAAATCCTCCCATTACCGTATTATTTCAACAAGTTTAATTAAACACGGTGAATTTAGCGAAATAATCTTTCCCATTGAAAGTCGCGTGTGCTCGCGCCGCGGATCGACCTGGAACTCGTTCAACGAGCAATCACGCTCGATTCTCGAAGTGCACGGAAAAGGAAAATGTGCGCCGCGACATTATCGTCCGTAACTAACTACTTTCCCGGGTAAAGTTAATTCCATCAATGGGAGAGTCCTTTCCCCCCCTTCGAATAAGCAGGAATGCACGTCGTGGTTCACAGGCATTTTTTTTTTTATTTTTTGTCAGCTTGTCTCTACAATGGAAATCCCTCCCTGTTTCGTTTCGTCCTTACATTTGTCTCTCGCCACCCCTCACTCTCTCACCCTTCGCGCGTCGCGTCTCGCTTTCCGCCTGCAGCTTCCTCGTGGAACAACGGCATCGAATTACCCGACGATCCATCATTTCCCGTATCCGGAATGCAAAACGTTGCTTACCGGGACACCTGTTACTGGCCGAGCCTCATCGACCGATAAAAAATCCGATGCAACGTCGAGAGAGAGAGAGAGAGAGAGAGAGAGAGTAGAAAGATAAAGAGAGAATTGCTAATACCAGTTTATGCAGCGTACACTCGGTAATCGCGGTACGAAGCGTAAACAGGTAATTTTTTTGTACGACTGTGTGTGCACGCGAGATAATTGCCTGGCGGGAGTATCAGAATCATTCGCGGATCGTTCGTTTCAGAAAGAAATAGGCAAATTGTTATGCGAAAGACTGTTTACTTTCATATTCGTCTGATCGTACCAGCAATTGTGTTTGCCACGGAGAACGATGTTTTACCTACGATATCTCGACAGTCTTCAACCATACCTAATGGCTGCGTTGCGCGTGGTTTGTCGGCCAGTTTCGCATTCAGAGAAAAAAGTAGAACTCGTTTCGATGTTACAAAGGAGATCCTCCTCTTTCTTTTTTTTTTTTTTTTTTTAAATCTGCGAAACAAGAGACGGAGTGTCTCTACTTGCGGATTAAACTACGTACTATATAAACGTTATCCGCGGGGATACTGCGTACGCGTATCTTTCATCTGTTACTTCAAAGAATCTCCGCCGGTTATTATTGCATTGCGTTGTTATTTAACCCGCGTCAGTAAAAGTAATTTCCATCGACGGTGACAGAGCCCCCTCCTTTCGATCGTTCGCTTCTCCTGCGTTTACGCACAGACACACCCCCACCATTTCATCCTTCTGACAATGTCCCGGGCGCTTTAAATTCTTAATCCCCTCGGGATTATGTCACAACTACCTGTTAAACTCGTGTTAACACGCCGCGATCAGCCCCGTCGTAATAATTATTAA